ATCTAGTGCTGAAACAAAGCTTTTGTGCTGCACAGAAAGATTAGCAGAGGAAACAAAGTGGGAGATAGGGTATTGAGTACAAGAGGGACAGGAGGAACAAGTTTTCTTGTGATAAGATCTTTTTCCTTTTCTAAGAGCAATAGGTAAGTCATCAGAAGTAGAAGCAATGGGTAAGTCATTAGAGATATCAGAAGAAATAGACAAATCATGAGAGGAAATAATATTAGAATCAGAAACAGGAGATTCAGGAGACTCAGAAGAAATAGGAGATTCAGAACTTACCAGTGGTTCAGACGATTGAGGTTGCTGGTGAGACAGTATGGGTTGTATCTCAGGTGTATTTGAAGGTTCTGACACACCAGGAGCAGACACACTAGGAAGAGAGAAGATTGATCCAGACTCAAAGAAGGAAGGGGACGAGTCTTCTGAAGAACTATTCTCCCCCTGACGATGAGGATCCAGGAAATAAGATTCAGATTCTTCAAAGGTGACATCCATAGAAACAAAAAATTTCCGACTTGGTGGATGATAACACTTGTACCCTTTTTTATAAGGGTTATAACCAAGGAAGACACACTTAAGAGCCCTAGGATCCAACTTACTCCGATGTTGTTTATGAACATGGAAAAAGGCAACACATCCAAACACTCTTGGTGGAAGGCTCTGCAATATGGGAACAGAAGGAAAGAAGGAAGTCATGGAATGAATAGGACTGATATTGTTAAGGACCCGTGAAGGTAAACGGTTGATCAAAAAAGTTGCAGCTAATACTGCTTCTCCCCAATAAGAACTAGGAACAGATGTCTGAAAAAGTAGTGCTCTAGCAACTTCAAGAAGGTGACGATTTTTCCTTTCAGCAACCCCGTTTTGTTGAGGGGTATCAACACATGTGAGCTCATGAATCATACCTCTGTCTGAAATGAATTGTAACAGGCGTTGATTGACGTACTCAGTACCATTATCAGATCTGAGTCTTTTAATACCCTTACCAAACTGAGTCTCAACCATGTGATGAAACCGAATAAATATCTCTGGTACTTCAGACTTGTCTTTCATCAAGTATATCCATGTTATCCGAGTACAATCGCCAATAAACCAAACAAACCACCTTGCACCTGAAACACTGTGCACTTTAGAAGGGCCCCAAACATCAGAATGGATAAGAGAAAAAAGTTCCCTGCTTTTAATAGTGCTAGAAGGAAATGACACTCGATGGTGTTTTGCAAATTCACAAACATCACAATGAAAGGTCTCAACCGACTTATTGAGAAACAGAGAGGGGAACATAGACTTCAAAAGACTAAATGGTGGATGCCCGAGACGCTTGTGATGGAGCCAAATCATAGACTCTGCAGTAGAAGGATGACGTGTCATTAATAACTGATTTTTGCTAGCATGGTCTGGAAGGAGATGATACAACCCATCCTGTTCATTATCAACTCCAATTGTCTTCTTCGTGGTAAGATCCTGAATAAGACAATGAGAAGGAAAAAATGTGATAGAACAATTCAAATCAGTTGTAAGTTTTTGAGTGGAGATAAGATTAGTAGAAAGCTGAGGAATATAAAGAACATTTTTAAGAAACAAGGAAGGTTGAATTTGAATGTTACCAGAACCAATAACTGATTTATGGGATCCATCAGCTACGGATATAGTATGACTACCAACAGTAGGATGATGAGAACAAAATAACTCAGTACGACAAGCCATATGATCAGTTGCACCTGAATCCAAAATCCATGAGGTTTTAAAATCAGTGCAAGAAGCAAGAAGAGATATAGAACGTGTGCTCTTACCAGATAAGATCGAAGAACTATCATGCTCGACCATTCTTTAACAAAAAAAAGTTAACAACCAGCGATAAAATCAACCAAACAGAATATCAAATGACCTCTGATCAGAAAAATAATTACATATCCAGACAGAAGACAAGAAGACGAGAAGAATGGTGGTGGTCCTGTCCAAAAACACGGCTGCACGCGACTTCACGCGCCGGAGAAAGGAGCTGCGCGTGGGATTCACTCGCCGGGAAAGGGGCGGCGCGTGGATGGGCTTCGCCAGCTGAGATTTTTCTGGTGTGGTCGTCCGGTGAGCGCGCACCTGTCTGTGGGTGGTCGCGGTTGAAAAGTCGTCGGAAAGTGGTCCAAACGGTGAAGACAGATCTGATTGGAGGCGGTTGGAGGTGTTTCGGTCGTTTGTGGCGGAGGAACAGTGCGTAGAATGATAGATCGGAGGAAAAATAAGGTCAACAATGGTCCCCTTGGTCCAAAAGGTCCCCGGAAAAATTTTCCGGTGGCGGCTGATGGCGGTAAGAGGCAAATAAATTAGGGTTTTGTTAAAAAAGAAGATAATATGTGCGGAAGCAAAGCCCTCAGATCGAGAGCTTTGATACCAACTTGAAAAAGGGTATTCTAATATATTATAGAATTGTAAATAATCTGTACAAAGGGTTATCTATTTATAGAAAATATTTGACCTAATTTTAACCTAATGGGCTTGGCCCAATACGACAAATAAATGACTAAATAATAACTAAATAATTATTATTTACAACAACAACCACTACCCAATCAGGGCTTGGTGGAACAATCAAGGGAATTACACCCAAGGTCCGAAGGCTTACCTTAAAGCTTCCAATTAACCTTTGTTCTCACCAACCGGTTCCACAATCAATCAACTTTGGTTTCAAGCTATGGTTTACACAGCACACAGCTATCCCAAAGAGCTAATCAAGCTCCATTGCTTGCTTCAATGGTTGATCACTTATGGTTGGTCCAAATTCCTCAATCCTAGACATCATTAGGACACAATCATCAATCAACCAAACCATTTATCATTAATGCAAGAAAATCCAATATCAAGCATTAAATCTTGCCATTTTCAAAGTATAGTCATATAACTATCTAAGCTCATTTTCACCGATTAATCATCATTCCTAGCATTTCTCATAACATACATTAAGCTCCAATCTTCCTAGAACATAGCTAATTTAATCACATTTCATAAAAACCCCCAATTCACTATTCATAAACCCTAAACTCATGCAAATCTCCAAGAATCATGTGAAAGAGAGTGGAAACTTACCACCAATGATCACACAATAGAGGAATGAGCGTTCCTCAAGCTTCCATGGAGGTAGAAACTCCCAAAACCCCACACTTCTCAAAAGGGGCGAATCTTTGGGGGCCAATATGTCTCTCCACAAGGACTCCCACTCAAAACCAAGCTAGGATTATGAAAGAGGGGAAGATTCTAAGTGATTTAGGCTTTTGAATCACCCAAAACGGTCAAGGTTTCCTCCCTCCTCTCTCTCTTCTTCTCTCTTCCTTTCTTCTTCTTCTCCTTCTGTCTGCTGGTCCGACGGGAAAATGGGGGGGGGGGGGGGGTTTGGGTTCTTTTAGTTGTTTTATCACTTAACACATGTTAAGTGGAATCATGCGGGTATTGGTTCATCTATCTATTCAACTCCATTAATTACCAAACTTTACTCAAAAGTCTGGAATATTATTCTAGGAATATTTACAATTTTACTTTTATATTTTGGGTACTTTTGCCTACACCCATTTATCCCTCTTAATTTTCACTGAGTATACTTTTTAACTCCAAAGTGACTCAAATTCATTTTATTAAGTCTTATACTTAATTTTACTCACTAATACATGCTTAATTATTTAATTACATGTAATTTACTAATTAATTAGGTTATGGCTATTATAGTTACAGTACCTAAAAGAGCAAGTGGAAGATTGTTGGGTTTATGCTCTATTACATAAGCCCAATTAGGCTAAGAGATGATAAGAGCCCAAGAAGCCTAGAGCCCAAAAAGCTTAGGGCTATGGTTTCTTTGTACTCGTATAAATACTATCACTTAAGTCATCAGCTTCCAAAGTCCATGAACAAAAAGGTAAGCTCTGATATGAAAAAGTGCCCACACACTTTCCCTTCCCCCTTGAGGATAGTCTAGAAGGTTTTCCAGAAAACAAAGAGATATGTTCGTACTGTGACGAAGGAGAGATCGGTTTGTGAGTTCGTGTTGTGATACAGAAAAAGGACATCGATTCGTGGAGCATCATCTACGATCTGCGCTACAAGAGGTAATCAGAAAAACGATGATGATCTGTTGCATCCCAAACCGCAACGATCTAAATACTTCCACAGATCCAATTGCGCCTACAGCCTTATGGATATAAAACACTAGGCTCAAATTTCTTCTTCTTTCATTCATATGTTTTCATACTGTATGTTTTAACTTCGTGTTATTACATGCTTCGATTTCTTAGGTACATTTTATGAAATTGCTTTTGTTGATGAAACAATTTCTTAAACACGAAATATCTTTTATAATTGATTAACTGGCAATAATTTTTCCAACAAACTATACATTGGTGGAAACAAGCTGGAACCACTGGCTTTGGGGATCTTCCAAACAAAGAGAATCATCTTTAACACAAATACATTTTGAAGTCAGAACGTGGGATGAGTTGGAATCCTTCTGCAAGCAAAGTTGTTTCCCATCTTGATCCACAGTAGCCAAATGAAGTTTAGAAAGTGATACAGATTTCCAAGAACTGTTCTTGCTTTGGCAATCATCAGAAATACTTACTGGAAGCCCTTCACCAGCGGCAGTTAAACACTTCTTAGTACCATTTAAAAGGATTTTAGACTCATCTCCACCATAAATCCATCTGTTTTGGTTCTCACATCCACCAACTTCAAGTTCATTCTTGTTATTCAATTGGGCACATTGACCAGTTAGTGGGTGGTACAAGATATATGCATTGGGGACTTTGGAAGTAGGATCTGCATCAAAAATCCAAGTAAGGTTAAAATGCAAAATGGATATTGACATGAGCTTTTCTCAACATGCCTGCAAAATACTAAATTGAATTGGTGACTGAAAACTCTTACCTTGATTCTTCCTTTGCAAAAGTTGGAACTTGTTAGTGAAGTTTGGGTCTCTCAGATTTTTCCAATTAACATCCATTACACCAAATGGTTCATCAAGTTGAACTTTGTCTTCTATAATATAATAGCCACCTTGAAATGCCCACAAACCCCAATCCAAATCTTTCTCAACAAGATAGGTCTGAAGGCATGTCAATAACCTATTGTCTTCCACTGAAGAACCTGACTCATCAAACCCCAACTCAGTGAAAATTAAAGGAACTGCATTCTTACCAGTGGTAAGGAACCCAGCTCTGTACTCTAACCCTCTAATGCTATCAGCACATATCCTGTTCAATGGTTGCTTAGTCCATATCTGTTTTGATTTTTGTGTCCCAGTTCCAGACCATGAATACAAATGTGTCTCATACACCATTTTTTTCCCCAAGTCTATCTTCAATGGTTTACTCCTTAGAAACTGAAACTCAGTGTCATAGTTCAAACCTGAGATAACCACAAGCACCTTTGGGTTTGCCTTGTGAATGGATAATGCTCCATGGCTCATGTACCTATACCAATCATTCTGATTTTGACGTGGACCATGCAATTCATTCCTCAAGCTCATTGCCACAACCTATTGGACAATTAAAAGCAATCACAAAGTTATATTTTATTCAATTTAGCATTCAAAAGAAAGAAATAGAAAAAAAAAATGCTATTAGAAATATAACACATACAGCATGATTATTAGCAAAGTGCTTGGCTGCCAAAGTAAGGCCCTGAATCCATTCTTGAGGATCAAAGTGTCTGTCATGAAAGAATCCATTTTCATCATCATCATTACAGCACCACTTTGGCTCACTGACATGATTATCCAACAACACTTTCACGTTTTGAGCACCAAGTTCATTAACCATTGCTTCAAAGGCTTGAATATGTGTCATATTCAACACGGAAGGATTATTCTTGGCTATACCATCCACCACCTCAGGAGCATCAAAATTGGAAAATGTATCATTCACAATGTGATTGCCATGGCGTGTCCACATGTAAATTGCATACGTGAGACGAACACAATTGAACTTGTGTTTAACAAGCTCACCAACAAGTTCCTTCAATGGTCTTTTGTCAAGACCCTCAGGAATCATTGGTCTAAGGTGACCAGCCCAGTTGCCACATACCATTTTGGCACGTTCCCCTGTGGAATCATCTATGATCCATCTACCTTGGGTTGATAGAGGGTATGCATTGGAATATGATGCTAAAGGAGCACTGATGAAAATAATAAGAAGAAGAAAGAGAGATTGTATAGTTGTTCCTAACATCTTGACTTTCAAATATTTGTTTTGAAATTCAATCAAATAAAAGGTTTTATTTGAGGTATTTGACCCATCTAAGGTCACAATAGTTATAAATTATCAATTTGGTATTATTTGAAACATATTTCCAAATGCGGTTGGTCAAAGTCACGACCCATAGCAACACTCCTTGGCCAATAAGATTGTACCGTGTGGCACAATCTAATTGGCTAACTTGGATTTGAATTTCTAACAGATAAAAGGTTTTATCAAAGTGTTTGACCCGTCTAGTGTCAAAACAATAAAAAATTATCGATTTGGTATTATTGGGAACATATTTCCAAATAGGGTGGTCAAAGTCGTGACCTTCCTTACGGCTTGCGACACTCTTTGACCAACGAGTTTGTGTCTTTGTGTCACATGGCCGCAATATGGTTGATCAACTTATATTTGAATTTATAACAAATAAAAGGTTTTATTCGGGTGTTTGACCCTTCAGGATCAAAAGAGTAAAAATAATCATTTTGATAGTTTCTGAAACAAATTGATATTTTTAAATGGGGTGGTTAAAATTGCAACCCATAACAACACTCCTTGGCCAACCTGATTGAGCCATATAATTTGGTTGGCCAAAAAGTGAATCGAGTGATGCTAGCTAGGAGGTTGGAACTTTGACCATTCCACTTGGAAATATATTCTAAATGATATCAAACTAAAACCCCTAGTTTTTTACTATAGATTGGTGAAACAGCCATTTTTTTTCATCAATAACATTAGATCTTGAAAGTTGTTTATAATAATTAGAAATAAATTACATGCATGTGTGGATTTACTAATGCATGAATCTAGTTACTGTGAAATTAAAAATTAATTTATCGTAAGATTAAAAGTCATTATGCATCAATAATGAATTATATAATTATATATATATATATATATATATATATATATATATATATATAGAGGTAGGATCCTTTGACACTGGTGTCAAATTTGAAGTTTGACACTTCATCTTAGAGTCGTTAGATAAAAAAAGATCAATGGTGTCACATGCTTGCAAATCAGAGTCGTTGATCTTTTTTTATCTAACGGCTCTCAGATGAGGTGTCAAACTTCAAATTTGACACCGGTGTCAAATGATCCTGCCTCATATATATATATATATATATATATATATATATATATATATATATATATATATATAGTGATACAATATATCTTTTTACTGTAATGTATACTAGATTTTCTTAGATTACAAGTGTCATGTATTACTTTTTAATGGTAATGTTGTTCTACTATATATGATTAATTCTTATTCTTTCACTTATCACCTATTGATATTCCTTGAATTTTCCCCCCTTAATTCTACCTTTCCTATTTTATTTTATTTTTATACATCAACAACAGAAACAAAACAGAAAAATAAAGATTGGAAAAATAAAGAAAAGAGAATTCAATCAGCAACTAGCTAGTTGTTCCTTGCAAGAATCTCCTAACAATCATTCAGAATCAACTTTTGAAGCACCTCATGAGGGGATGTATAATAATAGCATCCCCAAGCTTTACCAAGAGCTTCCTTGGCAAGCAAGTCTACACATCTATTATGTTCCCTCTTGACATGGATAAATTAAATTCTCCAATCCTTAACAACCCAAACTCGAATCCTAACTACCAAAGATAGCTTTTGAGCGTCATTGCCTGAATCGGTAAGCAGATTAATAGCTTGAAAGGAATCACTCTCAACTATAACTTTTTTGATGCTATGAGACCAAGCAAATTCCAGCCCTCTGAGTATCGCCCACAGTTCAGCTTGTAAGCAAATTCCAGTCTTCTGAAATCAGGTTCGTGAATCTCTTTGTTATGCCACATCCAGAGGAACCAACAAGTTTCAAAGAAGGGATTCCTCTAATTTCGTAGCAGGAATATATTTTTAAAGCACCTAATAGGTTCCTGTTCAGCAAAGAAGAAAGCCAGGTTAGGTTAAAGGAGGGAGTTTTTCCATACCTTTAAGGGGCTGTTTGGTATGGAGTAATATATTAGATGTCCAGGAAATTGTAAGTGGGAATTATTTAGTTCCACATTTGGTAGAGGAAAAACATAAAATTTTGCAGGGTATAGTTTATACCCAGGCTTCCTTTTTACACTACCAATTCTGAATCATAATTCCCATTTAGAACATGGTAATTATTCGTTCCCACTCCTTGGCTTCTTTTCGTGCTATTTCTCAGTCTAAATTACCCTTGGAGCTTGTTTGTCACTCGTTGTTGGTCTGGAGCGAATGTTCCTACGGAAGGGCTGAGGTATGTTCGCATGATTTTTATTGTGGTTTTTGACTAAGATTTGTGTGGTTCACAAAATCTGATACCATCTCTCCACCGTGCTGAATAACAGTGTCTGAAATTGCAAATAAGATACCCTCTTCTTCTCATCTTGTTTCTCTTTGTCGGCTCAAATTGCTTTGCATCACCTTTGGTGCAAGAACTGGTTTGCTACTATAATGTTGGTGTTACAACCATTCAAGTAAAAGTGAAGGAGCTTGTGTGGTTCAAAATGGGACGAAGCGAATGATTTGCTTGGTTACCCCAGGCTAAAAGTATGAAGTTTCGTACTTCGCAGTATTGATCGGATTTTCTAATGGAACAATAGTTACACAGAAAAATAGTTTGAAAAAAGAAGTTGATAAGAAAAATTACGAGGTTACTTCTGTAAAATTTCATCATATTTCCGGCAATATTTTTTTTTCAACCAAACATTCCTTTAAAAAAATTAACCAATATTTTCAGTAATATTCTGTCCTACCAAACATCTTTTTTGTAAAATTTCCAAACAATTTTGGTTCCAACCATATTCTAAGTAATCGTGATTCCAGATACAAAAAAATTTCTCCAGTAACAAACGCCCCCTAAAGCATTTGGATAGTCCTAAGGACATGGAGAGTTGTTTCACTTTGTCCCCACAACAGTTGTTAGGTGGTGTTTGGTTGGGTGGTATTTGAAATAAACCCATGCAAATGAAGTTGGTATTCCTCGATGCATGCGTTTGGTTGGGAGTGATTTGGGTGAATACCCAGGCAAGGTCAATGCCTATCTTTCTCGTTTTTGTGTCGTTTGTCCATGCTTCCGCACTATTCAGAATCCTGATTGCTCGGTGGTTTTTTACAGAAAAACGGCTAATACACGTGGGGCCCACAACATTTGAGACCATTATACCCTCCGATATTATCCTGATTGTGCGGTCAGCAGCGAATGGACTGAAGAGTAGATACAAAAAGTCTCAGCTTAGTTTCGTTGGGTGCGTTGAAGACCAGTTTGGTGACCGGAAGAAGTGGCTGTGCATGGTGGGGGAAATTGATGTTTGTCTCTTCCTAATCCTGGTTCAGTTTTCTTCATGAACTCAGTGTTCTCCACAAACAAACAAAAAAAGCAAATAGCGAGATTCGATCCGCACAGGCACCAAATCCTTACCAAAAAAATTTCGAAAGAGAAAAAACATAAAAAACAAAAAAAAAAGAGCTGAACAAAAACACAGAGAATCGCAGAAAAGAAAGGAAAGAGGAGCAGTTGGCAGTGAGAGAAGAAGGTTTATTTTTTATTTTATTTTATTTTTTGTAAATAGAGAAGAAGGTTTAGAAGCACGCACCTATTGGGAAACTTGTTTTTTGGGGTTAAATTTGTAATTTCATACAATTTATCCATCTTTATTTTATCCCAAACCAAACATAGATTTCATAAAAGTTACCTAATTTTTCCAGTAAATTTTTTTCCAACCAAACAATTTTTTTTACATTTTCCTACCTATCTCACTTTCCAACCATTTTCCTATCTATAACATTTCCCTATCATTCATAAAATTTCTCCTCAATCAAACGCCCCACTTTTTTTCTTTGAATCTTTTTGTTATGATAACTTTCTTGGTGAATCTTTCAGCAAAGAATAGGAATTTACCTTTCGTATTCTTCAACTTCACCATTACAGTTATTCCATCTCATTAAAAAATCATCCGTAATAGCATAATTAAAGAGAAGAGACATTCACAAAAAGCTAGTATAGCCCCAATACTTAAAGAGAAGATGCTTCTAAGAAGTTTCCCTTAGAAAGAGTATTGTGTTGTAACTCACACTTGAAGTGAGGATGTTGAAAATATTTAAGGATAAATAGTGGTGAAATCCACATCGATTATAAATGAACCACTGAGAACTATATAATTTCAAAATCAATTTAATTTAAAGTGATTCCATTCTTGAACCATTTTAAAAAAATAATTTTCAATTGAGATAGTTTCTTTTAAATTTTTTGAACACCTCTAATTTTATCCACTACATTTTAGAAACCATTTTTTTTTCTTTCCATGTTTATGCTTTCGTATCCTTGAACTTGTATGTTGCTTGATATATTTCTTTCATTTCAAAACTTATTAAAATTTTGCGTAAGAATTAAGAAATACGTAATTAAATAGTTTTATTTATTTTTAAATAAAATCGAATAAGGAACAAAATAATAATAATTAGATGGACAAGTTGACAGATTCAAATTTATAATTTGAAAGAAATAATAATTCCTATGATCATATAAGAATAAAATTAAAAAAAAAATTAATGCGTTTTTAGTTTTTCTAATTAATGCATAACTTAAAATAAATTTTCAAATTTTAAAAGTGACAATTATATTGAACTAGAAAGAATATTCTGATGTCTTTCTATCCTTTCTTCTAGGACAACGATCAAAATGCCGCACTGTTCACAAAAACTTACCTAAATTACATGGTTTGATTTTTGTTTTTTTCAATATGCCACATCACCTAACTCGCTGGCGAGTTAGGTGTGCACATATGGTAGCAGATTCATGGCCACATAAGTCGCTGCGCAATGCAGCAAGATTACGTGGCAGACAGCTTCTACCAAGTCTGCCACATGGCCTAAAATGCTAGGCAGCGTGGCATCTTAGGTGTCAACTTTTTTGACACGTGTCAAACTCGCTATGCAGCATAGATGGGTATATGGTCCTTTATGGATACTTGGTATGTCTGAAATCATGCACTGTATAAATTGTTTACCAGGATACCTAGAGAGTGGGATTCGCAAATCCCCGTTTGTTCGATTTACAGATGTCACTCTGTCCGATTTTCGTCTCCGTCAAATAAAAATTAAACTAGAAGAAGTATGCAATGCGATATATCATATGAAAATGATTAAAGAAAAAGAAAAAGTTAGCTCGTATATTCGTAAGTTAAGTCTTCTGCTGTTTCTGGTTAGTATCATATGTATGTTAATTGAACCGGCTCGAGACGGGGATGTTACAAGTACAGTAATACACGTTATTCGAGTTACTTAGGGGCTATTTGGTATGATATATAAGACCTGATAATATAAATTTATACTATACGTTATGACATTTTTAATTGTTTGGTGTGACTATCGTATAATATATACTTAGGGTTTGATGTTTGTCATTTTAAATGACATAAGTTATGTCATTTTAGGAGAGAGATAGACAGAATAAATGGAAATCATGGGGGAAAAAGTGAGAGATTTTTTTCAATTTAAATTTTAAATAAAAAAATATTATTTTGTGTCTATCTCTCTCTTAAAATGACATAATTTTATGTCATTTAAAATGACAAATACTTTTTCCATATACTTATACAGTAGAACCCCTCAATACATCAAAATATAATGTATAACTTAATTAGACCTAAGAATGTGAAATTAAGCCTCATAAGAGGTTGCTATATTAATATTGCTGATCAAAACAATTCTCAAAAATAAATATATTATTTCAATATTAATATATTAAAATAATAATTAATCTTTTAATACATTATATTTTTAAAATATTGGAGATTTTTTTTATAAAAATTAATATATTGTTTTGGACAAACTGATCAATAAATTTTTATAAAAATTATTATCATATAACATATTTGAAAGAATTATATAAATTTTGTTATTAAAGAGTATTTTTGTTAAAAATATTTATTTTTATCCTATTTAATATTATAAAGAGCATTATCAAATATTAAATGATATTATCTTTTATAATATATTATCTTGCATAATATATTATCTCATATAATATTATGTCAAACGGTAAATAATATTAAAATTTAATAATAATCATATTTTATTCCGGCAAAGACGCGCCACCTAAATTATAGCGTTTATGGTGTCAGAGGTAAACAAATGCGGGTTGTATTCATGCCGCGTTTGACTAACTGTTTGGGCTTTCATTTTGTGACCGGGGCAAGTAAGTGTTCTATTCATGGGTCTTCCCTGTAAAAGTTCGAATTAGTTTTGACTTATGCAAATACGTAATGATATTCTAAACACCATTGTGAAATGAAACAACTTCGCGGTGAAGTCTAATTTGCAGCTTGCTACAATGAGAATACGAAAGCATAAAAGAATGAGACAATAAAAACAAATAAGCAAGCTTGGTAATATATATATATCTGCTTTGTAAAAACAAATAAGCAAGCTTTGTAATATATAGCTGCAAACAGCTACTACTACGACTCTTGGTTTTGGTTATACAATCACATTAACTAAAATTAATTGGAAATTAGAAATTTCATATAAAACATTAAGGAAAGCATACTATAATATAAAACATCAACACTTACTTTTGACTTTATTTGTTTTATAAATACTTGATTCATTTATTTGTTTTGTTATTTTTTGTTTCAAATACATTGTAATTTTTTTTATTTTATAAATACTTTAGTTCAAATTTTTATTTTACAAATTACTAATATTGTAAAATTATTTAGAATAAACTATTTTTTGGTTCCTCAACAAAAATTATATGGTCCATTTTAATCTCTTAAAAAAAAAAATTACTTGTGTTCTCTCTTAAATTCAAAATAGACTTAATTAGTCGAAATCATAATTATCTCAAATTTAAAGAAAACTAATATTAATCCCTAAAAAAAATAACATGAATTTATTTTTAATTTTAGAGTGATTACGAGTTGACTTTTTTTTTTAAAGAAATTAAATTAAACCTCGTAATATTTGTGTTAAAGATCCAAAAATATTTTACTAAATTTTTTAAATTTATAGCGCGAGCTATTGTTTCAGAGATCATCAATCAAACAACATGATTTCATAGAGACACGGTAGGTGCATTATTAACGCATGTCTTTCTCAAAAGCGGCGTGAATATAACCCGCGTTTGTTTATGTCTGACACCATAAACGCCGTAGTTTAGGTGGCGCTATGGTCAAAGAGCCCATTAAACAACATGTGAGGGTCTTATCGTCAACAATAATATATAGGGCATGTTTGATGCATAATATAGAATAAGACTTGATAGTATAAGACTTGACAGTATAAGGTCTGATTAAATTTTAATACTATCCAGCGTTTGACACGGTATTGTATAAAATAATATATTGTATAAAATAATAAATTATATAAGATAATATCATCTAGTATTTAATAATTACTGTATAATACTATATAAGATAAAAATAAATATTTTCAATAAAAATTTCTTCTCATAAAGAATTTATATAAATCTTCAAAAAATATCATATGATATTAATTTTTATAAAAATTTATTGATCAGTGTGTTCAAAACATAAATTAATTTTTATAAAAATAAAAATATTCAATATTTTAAAATTAATATATTGAAAAATTAATTTTATTTTAATATATTAATATTAAAATATATTAATTTTTGAGAATTACCTGATAAACGACGTTAATACACCAACCTCTTATCAGGCCTTATCTCTCTCTTAGGCCGGATTAAGTTATACATCATTTTGATGTATTAAGGGATCCTGATGTATAAGCTTATACTATACGATGGTCACACCAAATAACTGAAAATGTCGTAACGTATAGTATAAACTTATACGATCAAGCCTTATACGTCACACCGAACATGTCCATAGTAATTAAAATTCCTTCTGTTAAGATAACTTCCTTATTTTTAACCGGCGTGACGGTCTTATCGGCAACTACTGTAAACTGTAAGAACATAGCAAGGTTGAGTTTAATAAGATTACTCTATCTAAAGTATCGGCATAAAAATGATGGTAATCTGTTTTATTGTGAGAGATAATTTGTCCACCAATTTTGAGCACTGTAAAAAGGACAAATTATCTTAAGGATATAATATCAAACACTGGCTCAGATTTTTTTTCTTCTTTCATTTATATGTTTTCGTACTATATGTTTTAACTTCCTCTTATTATATACTTGGACTTTTATGAAATGAAAAAATGTTTCTCTTTTAAAAAAATATAATTGTATGTCATTTTAAATTCTAACTGTTGATTTTAGTCAATCAATAGTTAGAATTTATTGGAAACGATTAAAATCTAAAATGTCATAAAGTTATATTTTTTAAAAAGATAAATTTTTTTTTTTATGAAATTGTTGTTGTAGATGAAATAATTTCTTAAACATATAATATCTTCTTATAGTAGTTATTTTGCAATAATTTTCCCAACAAACCATTGTTGATAAACCCGGACTAGACTGAGACGACCCAAGAATTGATGAATCAGTCATATAATTGGTTCAGGTATAACAGTGGATCGACTATGCATTGGACCCGGTGCAATCCAACCGGTTTTGGTAAAAACCAGTGACCTGGCCCAGTCTTTTTTAAGAAAAAAATTACCAAAATTTTTTTTTTCAAAAAAAAAAATCATAATCAACATATTTGAGTGATATGTTGCTTATTGTAGATACATAATCTATGTATCTACAATACGTATATTATCTCAGTTATGCATTATATAGTTAATTTTGATTTGATTTATAGTTAGAAATATTGTTTAGTGAACCTGAAACATCGTTATCACAAGCATTATGTGTTTGTTTGTTTCTTTATTGGAGAATGATATATAATTTATTATTTCTTATATTAAAATATTTAGAATTTATATTATTATTTTTAACAATAGGGCAGGTTATATTTACAAACTACACTAAGTACGACCGGAAATCATGCAGTGTACGACCGGTCGCATTTAGGGTAATTTGCCAGTTTGTAAACGGATCCTATCCCTTTAACAATTTGAATATATTTATAATTTTTTTAATATAAATTATAAATTTACATATGATCACTGAATTATGTTATTCAACCGGTGATAGCTCGACGTGATGAATGACCGGTTTTAATAACATTGCAACAAACTATACATTGGTGGCAACGAGCTGGAACCACTGGCTTTGGGGATCATCCAGACAAAGAGAATCATCTTTAACGCAAATACATTTTGAAGTCACAACGTTGGATGAGTTGGAATCCTTCTGCAAGCAAAGTTGTTTCCCATATTGATCCACAGTAGCTAAATGAAGTTTAGAAAGTGATACAGATTTCCATGAACTGTTCTTGCTTTGGCAATCATCAGAAACAGTTACTGGAAGCCCTTCATCAGCTGCAGTTAAGCACTTCTTAGTGCCATCCAAAAGGATTTGAGACCCATCTCCACTATAAATCCATCTGTTTTGGTTCTCACAGCCACCAACTTCAAGTTCATTCTTTTTATTCAGTTGGGCACATTGACCAGTTAGTGGATGGTACAAGATATATGCATTGGGGACTTTGGAAGTAGGATCTGCATAAAAAAAAAAAAAAAGCAAAGGTTAAAATGCAAAATGGATATTAACATGAGCTTTTCTCCACAATCCTGCAAAATACTAAATGGAATTGGTAACTGAAAACTCTTACCTTGATTCTTCCTTTGCAAAAGTTGGAACTTGTTAGTGAAGTTTGGATATCTCAGATTTTTCCAATTGACATCCATTACACCAAATGACTCTTGAAGTTGAACTTTGTCTTCTCTAACATAATAGCTACCTTGAAATGCCCACAAACCCCAATCCAAATCTCTCCCAACAAGATAAGTCTGAAGGCATGTCAAGAACCTGTTGTCTTCCTCTGTAGAACCTGACTGGTCAAACCCAAACTCTGTAAAGATTAAAGGAGCTGCATTCTCACCTGTGGTAAGGAACCCAGCTCTGTGGTCTAATCCTCTAATGCTATTGGCACATATCCTGTTCAATGGTTGCTTAGTCCATATCTCTTTCAATTTTAGTGTCCCAAGTCCAGACCATGAGTACAAATGTGTCTCATACACCATTTTTTTACCCAAGTCTATCTTCAATGGTTTAGTCCTTAAAAACTGTAACTCAGTGTCATAGTTCAAACCTGAGATAAGCACAAGAACCTTTGGGTTTGCCTTGTGAATGGCTAGTGCTCCTTGGCTCATGTACCTGTACCAATCATTCTGATTTTGGCGTGGACCATGCAATTCATTCCTCAAGCTCATTGCCACGACCTATTAGTCAATAAAAAGAAATCACAGAAAAGTTTATGTTATATGCAATTTACAATTGAAAAGAATGAAACACAGAAAGAAAAAAGGCTATAAGCAATATAATTAATACTTACAGCATGATTATTAGCAAAGTGCTTGGCTGCCAAAGTAAGTCCCTGAACCCATTCCTGAGGATCAAAGTGTCTGTCATGAAAGAATCCATTTTCATCATCATCATTACAGCACCACTTTGGCTCACTGACATGGTTATCCAACAATACTTTCACGTTTTGTGCTCCAAGTTCATTAACAACTGCTTCAAAGGCCTGAATATGTGTCATATTCAACACAGAAGGATTGTTCTTGGCTATGCCATCCACCACCTCAGGAGCATCCAAATTGGCAAAGGTATCAATCACAATGTGATTGCCATGGCGTGTCCACATGTAAATTGCATATGTGAGACGAACACAGTTGAACTTGTGTTTAACAAGCTCACCAACAAGTTCCTTCAAAGGTCTTCTATCAAGACCCTCAGGGATCATTGGATTAAGGTGACCAGCCCAGTTGCCACATATCATTTTGGCACGTTCCCCGGTGGAATCATCTATGATCCATCTACCCTGGGTTGATAGAGGGTAAGCATTTGTATATGATGCTAAAGGAGCACAAATGAAAAAAAGCAGAACAAGAAAGAGGGATTGTAAAGTTGTTCCTAACATCTTGATTTGGGTTGAAGAGAAATTCCAAGTTGGAAATGAAGCATACACAAGCTTGTTTAATTATATAGGAATTTTCAACCCTTAATTATAACGTTAGTAACAATATACTGTTGTGTTATAAAATCTATCCTACACTGAGAAAATATTAACAGATTGTTATCTTGTTATGCAAATCTTATCTCCTTACGTGTTTCTTTCTATTTTTAATAAACAAGTAACTGCTTATCTTTCATATTTTAACCCCATCCACTTAACTTTGAATAATTAGATTTGAATTTTTTACACATTAAAGATTTTACCAGTTGTCTGACTCATCTAGGATCAAAACAGTTAAAAAAATTAATCAGTTTGGTATTATTAAGTCATTTCATTACTGTTGATTTGATTTTAATATAACGATAAAAGAAATACTTGTAAATTTAACCTCCTCTAATAAACAAGGGACTGTCTTGTATCAACTATTAAGTATGTATGATAAAAATTATTTTCCCCTATAAATTATTTGTTCCAGTAGATTCAAAAGCATGCCCATTGAACACACTTGTAGTTTGGATTATTAGACGTCAGCCAACTTGGCATTACAGAGAAAATGAATTTGCCAAAGGAAGGATATATAGTCTTCATTTTGACCATGTGGCGTTGAGAAACAACTTAACCAAATAGGCACATCACATGGTAGATCCACGTTAATATCATGCTTGTATATAAAGTAAATATTAAAAATAAAAATCAAAGGACTAAGCCTTGCAATTGAGAATTATTTGTGTATGTGTCATGTCACTTATTTTGTTCCATCATTGCTGCTTTACTATCAGCTACCATTCCACGATTTAGCAGTATTTACATGTGCTGTGGAAAACTGGAAATTATTGGTAACTTAAGTATTCTAATTTTGAAGGCAGAAAGCACTCTAATCCTGAGCAAGATGAGAAGACCTAACAATGCATTGAATAGATGTTAATAATTTTTTTAATAATGGAATGGAATGGTTCATGACTTAGAACATGATAGTTCAAAAAAAATTTGCAAATTGGAACTGAACATTTGAAGAACCAAAAGTGTGAGAAGATAAAAAGAGCCAACTTAGATGTATTCCCCACATTTCATTATGAGACAATAAAGTACAAATGGTAACAATCTCATCCAAGACACACTCCCTATCATTTTTTTCCCCTTGTGATATGCAGGATTGTAATACATTAAAAATCATTCAAAAGCTTGACACTTCTTGCCTAGCAAAGAAGTGGCCAGAAGGGGAACCATAGGGAAGAAGTGCTAATCTCACAACACTAGCAGCACCATTTTCAACAGATAAGATGCCTGTGTTTTTGTTAATGTCTGTTCTGACAAAACCAGGGCAGACACAATTAACACAGAAGTTAGGGTGCTTATAGGCCAAAAGCCTTGTGTAAGAATTCATAGCTGCTTTTGAGACCATATAGGCTGAAAGGAAGGTTGGCCAACCCTTGTTTTCTAGTGAACCTTCTTTCAAGTCTTTCATATACTCCTTCAGTACCTTGTCTAATAGCTCTTCTGTAAGATTTTCAGTATCATCAAGCACCCCCTTAGCCCATTTGTTTGATATGTGCTGAAACACCACCATAACAAAAAAAAATTCAATGTTGTTGAAGTAATGTAAATTCACATTTCAAAAGAATTCAAAGAAAAATAAAAATAAAACTGTGATTCCTATACCTTTAACAGCCCTGCTTGGGAGGAAACATTAACAATCATAGGTGAATTGGATAACTGAAGAAGGGGAAGAAGCGCCTTAGTTGTTTCCTTAGCACCATAATAGTTTGTTGTTAAGCATTTTTCAGCCATCTCACAAGTTTGAGTCAGTTCCTTCCAGTTAATTGTTGATTCTATCTGCATTCATGTGTAAGAAACCCAAAACATTTTTAGAGGTTTTATGTATATAGACCAATACTCCCACATAGAGCAGAGAAAACATGCCCACTTACCATGTTATCTACATTGAACCCACTGATTCCTGCATTGTTAACCTGCACATGAATTTGTGAGTTCTTTAAATGATTCATTCATGTAAATTCAGAGAGAAACAAAAAATCCAGCTAATTATTATGTGGGACTAATTGAGAACTCCAGTCAACAAGTAGTTTTGGGTGTTTCCAAGCTTAATAAATGGGTTTATGATACTTAGAAAAACAATTTAAGTGCACAACCACAAGTCAACTGAGCCAGACATTCTAAAATGAGTCACCAAAACAAAAAGCAACACTGCAGATGCAACTCAATTGTTGCAGTTCTAAAGATTTTAATGTGGCTTATCAAAATATTATCAGCATGCAGAATCAAGAAAACCACTCCAAGCTAAGTATAAATACATTGTTCAGCCATAGAAGGAATTATTAGGCAAACAGACAGAGAATTGAGTGATTAAGGATGCAAAATTCAGTATTATCAGCAAAGTCAACTAACCAAGATATCAAGTCTCCCAAACTGGGTCTTTACAAACTCAACTAAGGATGCAACACTAGCAGGGTCAGTCACATCAAGCGGGTGAAAAACCACATGGTTATAGAAACCACACTCTTTCAATTTCTGAACAGCTTGTTGACCCCTCTTCTGATCTCTGGCTGTGAGCACAACCTTAACTCCATTTAAGGCCAACCCTTTAACAGTCTCCAATCCTATCCCTTTATTTGCACCTGTAACAACAGCATACCTGAAACCACAAACAAATCCAGCAAATGTTACCATATATACATACATACATACATACATACATACATACATACACTGAAAGTGAAAGGGATCTCTAACATGTGGGAATAGAATGAAAAAAAGTACCTTGCTTTTGCATCTGCCATAGATGTTGAATTATGAATCTGGGTGAATATGGCACAGGGGAGAAGGATGTTAATGATATAGAATGACGGCTATAAAATAATGGAAGTGCACTTTTCTTATAAATGAAAAAAGTTATTGGCATATATTATATAGTGTAATGGGTTAGGACAGCTTCTAGTATCGGTGTTATGTTACTTTGACATTTTCTTAGTGATGTGATAATGTCTCTCATCAAATGGTTATCTCTTCTGGACTGTTTTTGAGTACAACTCAACTATTCTAGATAATATCCATAAAAAGAGAAGATAGAGACAAGGACAAAAATCTGAAAAACGTTCGAGAGGTTTACCTAATCTTAACCAATACCCACAGTTTGACGTTTCTTATTTCACTTTTACTTGCACGCCCTAAACGACTTTTTGTAACGGATGTCGTAGATTTATGGCTTTAATATATCAGAAAATTTGCACTAAGATTTATTTTTATCGGGATCGTATTCTGAAGTTTTTATTTTATTATAAGATTTAGTGTAAATATATTTGCTGTAACTTTTTTCATATATAGCACTAGGAGAAATTCTAGATTTTTTTTTTTTTTTGTAAGCTGGATAAAACACACCACAACACAAATTAAATAACTGAAATATACAAATAGAAGCTAAATTTGCATCAAATAGCATACTAATTTCAAGGGAATTAAAAACACAAAAATCATCATAATTAACATTCATAAAAGAAAAATTTGTCAGCCAATCCTTACAACAGTTTCTTTCTCTAAAAGTATGAACCAGATGAACTCTCCAATCCTTTTGAATCTGTGTCCGTAATCGAGAAATCAGATGATTCTCGCGAACTGCATCACCATCACTAGTGAGCAGAGCAATAGCTGATTTAGAGTCATTTTCTACAATAACATTTCTCCATCCATCTTCTCAAGCTAGTTGCAAACCATTTACACTACCCCAGAATTATGCAGTAAGAACATCAAAACTACCAATTCTATAAGCAAATCCTTTTAACCATTGACCAACATCATTTCTAATAACACCACCACCACAAGCTGCTAATATTTGATTATCCTTAACCGCTCCATCTGTATTAATCTTTACCCAATTGCTTTCAGGAGCTTTCCAACAAATCAAAGTATCCGAATGAGACAGGTTATTTTGAGCTAAATTAACCTTATGAAAAGCATCTTGTATATCTCTCACCTTGGCTATCACTGACTGAATCTTGTATTGATAATCACGAACCTGATTTGGATTGTCATGACTCCTTTCATTCCTCCACTTCTGTAACATCCCAACAGCTGGCAAGGGCAGGGAGTGATCGCTGGTACGAAAGGGCACGGACAATGAGCGGCTCATGCCAAATCTTGCAGCTCGGGGGTTCATGAATGGATCGAATCAACACCCGAAAGAGAGGGATCCCAGAGACTGTGCTGGTATGGGACGGTACATTTAGGAATGACTTATAAGAATTAATTGGTACTACCTATACTAACAAGATGCATCTACTTTTCGGTAGCCCGAATCGGAAGAACTCCACAGTTAAGCGTGCTTGACTTGGAGCAATTGTGGGATGGGTGACCTCTTGGGAAGTTTTCCCGGGAAGTGTGCGAGTGAGGACAAAGCACATTGAAAAGTCTCGTGTTAGTGTGTGGGGACAGTCATTGATTCTTGCAAGTTGTCAGGCGTTACAAGTGGTATCAGAGCAGGGCCTCTCTTCTAGTACGATGTGGTTCGAGGACGAACCAGGCGGAAGCTGGTGGGCATGTAACATCCCAAGAGCTGGCAAGGGCAGGGAGTGATCGCCGGTGCAAAATGGCACGGACAATGAGCGGCTCATGCCAAATCTTGCAGCTTGGGGGTTCATGACAAAGCACATTGAAAATGAAAAGTCTCGTGTTAGTGTGTGGGGACAGTCATTGATTCTTGCAAGTGGCCGGGCGTTACAAGTGGTATCAGAGCAGGGCCTCTCTTCCAGTACGATGTGGTTCGAGAACGAACCAGGCGGAAGCTGGTGGGCATGTAACATCCCAAGAGCTGGCAAGGGCAGGGAGTGATCGCTGGTACGAAAGGGCACGGACAATGAGCGGCTCATGCCAAATCTTGCAGCTTGGGGGTTCATGAATGAATCGAATCAACACCCAAAAGAGAGGGATTTCAGAGACTGTGCTGGTATGGGACGGTACAGTTAGGAATGACTTATAAGAATTAATTGGTAATACCTATATTAACAAGATGCATCTATTTTTCAGTAGCCCGAATCGGAAGAACTCCACAGTTAAGCGTGCTTGACTTGGAGTAATTCTGGGATGGGTGACCTCCTGGAAAGTTTTTCCGGGAAGTGTGCGAGTGAGGACAAAGCACACTGAAAAGTCTCGTGTGAGTGTGTGGGGACAGTCATTGATTCTTGCAAGTGGCCGGTCGTTACAACTTCCATGCAAGCCAGCAAGAAAAGTGACATTAACCATAAAAAAACACATTAAAGTTATATATATATATATATATATATATATATATATATATACACGAAAATTATTTCTCAAGCAGCTTAAGATAAGTTTATCTCCGGCTACCCCAAAATTACGTCGTTTTATTTATTTATTTTCTTATATTAATTGATTCACCTTTGAATGGTTATGATTCCCTTTTTCTCTCTCTTCCTTTATCACCGCAGATTCATTTTTGTACGGTTATGATTTAGTAGCCGGAGATAAAATTATCTCAAGCAGCTTGAGAAATGATAAGCCCATATATATATATATATATATATATATATATATATATATATATATTCTTACATTAATGAAGAATAATAAATTTTACGCTCAATCTTAATCGTTAATTTCTGTAAATATGATGGTTGTAATTTATTAAGGATTAATAATTAATTAATGAAAATAACACAATTAATCTTAACCATTTAATTAACGAAAATCAACGGTCAAGATTAAGTGTAAGATTTATTATTCTTATACCGATGTAAGTTAATTATATATATATATATATATATATATATATATATATATCATCAACTATTGTCTTTCTCTTTCTCTAGTTATTTTTTTCAAACTTTTATGAAATTATCGTTACTTAATATCCTTTTTTATATTAATAATAATTTATTTATGAGTAATATTTATTTTTGATGCATGTTAATAAGTAGGAGAAAATTATATTTACAAATTTTTTGTTTACAAATTATACTATGTCTGACGGGCCATACTTCGATCAATAATGTATAACCGGTCATACTTAGTGTAATTTATAAAAAAAAAATTGCAAAGGGATCTTTTCCTAATAAGTAATATCTATTTTCACAAAACTGAATCCGTGTGTTATAAAATAGAGTTATCCCTGTTGTGAATGCAATAGTTTTCTATTATATTCTCTCTTTTTTGGAAAATCTATTATATTCTCTCTCTTTCTTCTTCATAAGACACATCATTTTACGTTTGTTTAACACTTTTTTAAGTTTTCTTTTTAAAAAAATCTTAAATTATTATTTTAATTTTAAATTTCTCTTTTTATGTTAAGGATTTTTCTTTATCTCCAAATCTTACTTTTTATAGTCTTAATTTTTTTTCAAATTTATTTTTTAATATCTAACTTTGATTTATTTTTACTCAAAACTCATTTACTTTATTCATATATATTAACAAATTAGAGCACATTACCTCGAAAGTGACATAATATTTTAGTCTATTTTTTCCTTAAAAGATAAAATACGTAATTCTTATATTTTTTTCTTTAAATTCTTTTGAATTAATAATACATATCTTATTAATAATTTATAATTTTTTAGTTTTCATTTATAATTTGTGGATTTTAATTGAATTAATTGTGCATACATTTATTATGATTTTATATATGTTGAAATTTGACCTAAATATAAAATATCATATGCATTATACAGGGATACATGCTAGATTGCTAGTACATATCATTCAAATTTTATCAAGTGAGGGTATTTTTGAGAAAAATTATAAATAATCCTTTGTTAAAAAAGCTATTGATGTAATTTATTTTTATATATTAAATTAGAATTTAATCTCTTGGTCTATTATCTCTTATAGAATGACATATGATATGTTATCCTGTTATATATAAAAATAAGGATAAATGCTACGCACGAGTCCTGAGTTCTAGAAAATGTGAAATTCTGCTTCGAAGTTGTTAAAGAGTTAAAAGACCTTGTGGCAATAAAAAACAAGAATGTTAAAATTGTTAAGGTCACTTTCCCCTTGAGTCAAGCTGGGCTGGTGGAAAACTAGTGGACAATTCATACACCCAAAACACCAAGTCCAAGTCTTTAACCCTGCCTTCTAGAAAATCTCCTTCATCATCACTTGAGGATCTTCCAAATCTATGCTTCTAGAAAACTTAACTAAAAAATTTCAAACTTAACGTGATGTAAGGCTCCTTCATGTGTTTTCATGGGCAAAATGTGGTGGTGCATGTTAGGATGCTTAAGTCAATAAATAAATAAGACGAATAATATAAAAAAGAAAAATGTGTACATATGATAGTGAAGATCTTCTATATCCGGGCCAGTTGATATTTAAACTGTATCATGGATCCACTACACAGCTCAAAATGTAAGGAATTATGAGATATTCAAAAATCAAAAACAAGATAATCCAAAAAAAAAAAAAAAAAAAAAACAAGAACAAGAAAGAAAAAGAAAGCTACCAAGGAACAATAAGAACGACAACAACCTATAAGAGAAGCACTCAAAAAGAGGGCACAAAAGCAACTTAAATGGGAAAGCCAACACAACATAGAAGATAGAAAATTAAGGTCCACAATGCTTTTAGAGACATTTTTTTAGAAAAAAAAATTAGTGGACCACGATGAATGTGTTTATTCAATTTTTAAATCAATAAAGTCAATTTTATATTTATTTATTTTTATATCAACCCTAATTATTTTTTTGAGGTGAGTTGGTCCCCAGTATTTCAACAAGCTTAGTAAAGTTAAAATATTATTCTATCCCTAATATATATTCTCTCTCCATATACTCAACATGTGTTATCAACTAAGTTACACCTATTAAATATTTCATAACTTATTATTTTATTAGTTCTAAACATGGTGGAAGAGACGGAACTCTTAGCTCCCAATAGTTTATTCATTCTTTAGGAACCCTTTTTCACTGCAATTTACTATTTTAGCATGTAAATAAAAAATTAAAAAAATGTGTATCATTTTAAAGGACACAAAGTTATGCTATTTTAAGTGAAAGAAAGAGATAGATTATGGGAGAAAGTAAGAGGAAAAAGTTTTAAAATTGTGGGTCCCACCTCTTTGTGAGAGTGAAAGGACACAATGTGTGTCATTTAAAATGACATATTTTTACCCAAGTGTAGTGGCTCAGTTGGTAGTATGGGGACTGAGTGGTTGGAGAGAACCTCGGTTCGAATTCCACCAACACCATCTGGGGAGAGGCATAAGTACCGTAATTCTTGGACTCGCACCCGAACTTTGGATTAGTCTCATAGGCGGCTCAAAGAGCCAAACCCGTAGAGATACCGGGAGTTCTGATTCGCCTCAAAGAGATAATTAGGATCAGTTATAAAAAAATAACATATCTTTTTCCCATAAATAAATGCAGTGAGGAGATCTAATTATATTTATTAGAGAATATTTTTAGTACTACTGTGTAATACACGATATATTATTTATTAAAAATAATAATAACCCTTCTAACATTATTTATCATGTCTCCTTTTTTATGGTTAATGTCACATAAATCAATGATGAGTCTCACTTATTACTTTAGGTAAACTGAATATATATTCTCTAAAGCAGAAGGTCCATTTTTAAAATTGTGTAGAAAATGACCTAGTCTTGACTGACGCAAAAACTAATTCAAAGCTACTTTAGCTTCAAGGTAAAAGAAAAAAATATCAATATAATAACAAAATTTTAATTTAAAAATCAAAATCAAAAAGTTTAACGAGAATGAGAATAAATTAAAAATATTAATAAAATTAATGTATCATTTAATCTTATGTTGACATATCATTTAGAGAATTTGATTATGTTAATAACTACACGAGGTGTCAAACTAATGTGATACCATTTAGATCTAAATGTAAAACTTTTTTACACTGATCGATAATGCATCGAAATTAAATTCATAAAATTACCCTTCCTTTTAAATATGATTTTACATTCTCTTCTCTTTAGAGATAGAATATTATTACTATAAATTAGTATTATTACCAATATCACTATCAATATATTTCACCGTTAGATCAATTAGGTTGATCCAACGGTTCTTATTTAATTTTCTAAAAACTTTCTTTCTTCTCTATATTTAATACTTTATATTTATCTCCACCATTGTATGGTTATGATTCTCCATATTTAATGATTTCACATTAAATATGAAAAATTATAACCATACAAAGGTGAAAATATATAACCGTTAAATCAACATAATCGATATAATGATGAAACAAATTGATAGTGATATTAGTAGTAACATTAATTGATAGTACTAGTAACAATATCATATCTTTTATTTTTATTATGATGTCATAAACTAATATGACTACACCGCAAGGAGTTGGGCCTAGAACCTAAACTCTAAACCACACATGCTTTAACCTGGCCCAATTGAAGGATTTGATAAGTTGAAGCTACAGAATCTCATGCTTTGCTAAGGATGGTGTACCCAATGTTGTTGTAATGTGATTTTATTGGAATAAGAAGGGATGTGTACTTGCAAAGTACTCCTATACTCAAGTCAATAATTTCTTTATAAGTTTAAGTATATTGAGAGAAGACAATCAATCATACATGAGCTTTAATCCTCTCTTTTATAATTGTTGTATGACCTACTTGTTGACTTATTAAGTCGCATTAATATAGTGGCATAACTAGCTTGTCTTCTGATTGATGGATGCATGTGGCTTGGTTAGGGTACACGGGTGTTAAAGCGCCGAGCCAAGTCGAGCTTTGATCTTAAGAGGTTAAGCCTGTGTTTAAATATGTCAGTCTGACCAAGCCTGATACATGTTATGAATATAATTATTAGCTTGTGGCCTGACTTATTTACAAAAAATAAAAGTTTGATTTAGTCTGTTAACCTGTTTAAAAAAAATTAAGACAACAAAAATTTATCCAAATAGAATATACAATCAACAGCACTAGTAATTTTATAAATATTCATAAATTCAATGTATATCCAAACAACATAATATAGAACAAAATCATTCAAAAAATATGTTTAACTAACAAAATGGGTGAAATGGATTGAGGACAGAAAGTACTATTACAAATAGTATAAAAAATATAAAATAAAATTAAAAATTAATATATTAGGCCAGCCTGAAAGGCTCTAACACCGAGCTTTTGAATTAGAGCCTGACATTTTTTTTATTTAATGAGCTTTTATGTAAGTCTAAACCTAATTCCAACAACTAATTTTAAACATATAAGCTCATGCATTTACGAACTGAACCAAACTAAAAGTCTTTCAAAGACTCTAATTCGTTTATCACCCATGTTAAGGTAGCTTTCATGCGGGATGCTTCTTGATAGGATCTGATACCTACCTAGATTTAGCTGGAATTTCGTGCCTGTTACCTAGTTATTGGCTATTGATGAGGTTTATCAATCTTGTACTGTTGTGATCTTAATTAAGTCCTTGAGGGATTGCATGTATGTGTTTCCTTATGGGTTATTTTGGGCCTCTGGGCAGTTCTTGGATTGGACCTTATATCCGTTTGGTATAGGTCCAATATAGACATTAAACGGTATAGAAATTCTAGTCTATAAACAAAAAAAATTAATCATGAAAAAAAAATTATTTAATAAAAGTCAAAATAAAAGAATTGTAAGAGAGAAATGCCATATTGTTTTAATAAATATCAAGAACGGAAAATATAATTTTCCTATTATTTATAATTCTTTTTATATTTAAGTCACGTACAAAATGTGATAGCACCTAAGTTGTAGCTCAATTAGCTAGAGAGCGTCAACATTGTATCTGGTTTCAAGAAGCACCTGTGTCTCCAAAAGATAAAAAAGAAGCCCCTCTGTAATTTCATTACATGTTTCAGGTGATGTAAATATTATTAATGCTTCAGCTAAATCATCTCAAAAAATTACAATTGATTAACCCGTCTATAACTTTGACAAAACATGAGCTAACTAAATATCCCTTTTGTACATACATGTAAATGAATGTAATCATTTAGGCAAGTGTGCATGAGAACCAATGATAATGAAATTCACCTCCACATATATTAGTTTTATACACGTTGTAATCTTGAAATTTCATTCTACAAGAAAAATTATAATTCCACATATTGACTCTAACTGTAATCTTAATAGTTGAGAGACATTAAATATTTACTAAGATTTGCACTGACATACAACATGATACACTCTGCTTAAAATAGGCTCAACAACCAGAATTATCATGTAATATATCACGTTATTATATGGAGAATACATGATGTCACAAAAAAGTCAATGATAATTAATGTAGAATATTAATTGACAAGCAAAAGCTATGCAGTTTGTAAAATTGTATTACAAATCAAAAGGAAGAAACTTCACTCCGGTAATAGAAGAGTCCAGATGGAGCACCATTTGGAAGCAGTGCTAGCCTCACAGGACTAGCAGCACCTTCTTCAACTGTTAAGAAGCCAGTATTGGCTGTTATATCTGTTTTGACATAACCAGGGCAAACACTATTGATGCACACAGAAGGGAAATTCTATTAGAGTAGCATTAATTTGTTAGGATCCTGATTGTAACTATCACGGTTTGTTACCTTGTATATTAAAATAGATTAGCTTGATTTATGCTTTCTGTTCCTTAGTTTTAGCTGATTTCCTGATGTAAATAGATTAGCTTGATTTATGCTTTCTGTTCCTTAAGTTTAGCTGATTTCCTGATGTAAATAGATTAGCTTGATTTATGCTTTCTGTTCCTTAGGTTTAGCTGATTTCCTGATCAATTGTAAATCTTGGTCTATATAATAGACCCAATTTAATATATCATCAAGCTGCGAATGACAGCAACTTCTGTTAAATTCTTTGCAAGAATTCTTGTATAGGAATTCATAGCGGCCTTAGAGATAATATAGGCACCTAGAGTCTTAGGCCACCCTTTGTTTTCTAATGAAGCTTCTTGGAAATCTTTGACAAAATTCCTCAACACATGATCCACTCCCTCTTCTGTAAGGTTATCAGCATCACTGAAGATTCCTTTAGCCCAGCCATTTGGTACACTCTGAATTTTACAAGAACAAGCAATAAGACCTCATGCAAATTAAAGGAGACAAGAGACAATGATTAACTAACAAGGTATCTATATGAAACATTTTTTTATAGATGCAGGGAAAGAAGCTGAAAATTTTGCTTCAATATCATGTAGAAGGCCAAAACCTTAAGAATTTATTGCCTACCTCTAACTGCCCCAAGGTGGATGACACATTTATAATTCTTGGTGAATCAGACAACTGGAGGAGGGGAAGAAGGGATTCAACAGTTATTTTGGCACCATAATAATTTATTTGCAAGCATTCTTCAGCTAACTCATATGTTTGAGTCATTGCCTTTGCCCTGTCATCTTCGGATAATGCCTGCAAAGTAAGGACAACTCAATACTCAAACCCATTACAGAAGTTTTTCAAAGGACAAATATCCCCCACACAAAAATAAAACAATTACAAACTTTATAACAACCAGAAGTTTCCACCAAAGGGAAAAAAGAGAGACAAATCCCCGTGCACAAATCTCTCCAACTTACAAGGGTAGAAATAGGGTCGATTATATGCAATCTTATCCTTGCATTTTTGACAAAAAGAATGTTTCTCAGACTTGAACCTATGATCTTCCAATCACAAGAAGCAACCTTATCGCTGCTCCAAGAGGTTTCCTCAACAGTTCAGAATTTAATATGGCACCCAGACTTCACACATACTATGCCATTAAATGTGCAAAAGAAAGAACCAATTTCAAAATTCAGAAGAGTTATTAGTCAAGCAGGATAGTTAAGTTTAGGTTGAGATATAAAACATAGTCGCACTGCCAAAAACCTTCAATCATTTTTTTTTAGTATACAAAAGACCTTCAATCATTATTTGTGACAACTTTCATCCTGCTCATGTAAGGTTTTTCTATCATTAGAATTTAAAGATGAGATGGACAAGAAAAGTAGTAAATTGAGGCCCCTTTTGTACAGGGTGCACCAAGTTTCAAGCTTTCCTCATCTATTGACTAGATGCCAGAATACTTACCCCACGATTCATGATAGCTAAAGTGAATAAATCAGTGTCTTTAATTACAACTCCATTAACCCCTGCATTGTTCACCTGCATTGTACAAACATCAAAGTTTAAAGTCATGAGTTTTTCCTTCAAAGCTATCAAGAAAATTTATCATAACTCAAATAACTAGAAATTAAAAAAAAAAAAAGGAAAAAGAAATCTATCAAGGAGCATAAAATGATGAGGTCTTGGTCAAGATAATTACTTACTTAACTAATGATCCTAACTCTCACCCATCTTATACTCTTGAAATGATAAACTTTTCTATCAGGGCAGATTAGTGCTTTCATCATCATCATCAAGTTGGTTTCCTAAGTTTGCCACCGGTGTTAAATAATTTCTATTCAATGAAATACCCTTACCAGCACCAAACTATACCACAAAAAGCTAAACCTCACCAGCATTAGAACATGGGGGCTTTCCCTGTCTCATGCACATTCAATACTAAGCAAATAAAAAATTCCCGTTTTCCTTAACATTGAATATTGATTAAACAAGCACAGAAGAACATAGTGTGGATATGAAACCGTAGAGGAGACAAGTGACCATAGTTAGATAACTCCAAGAAGTATTGTAAGACTAATCAAATAATGGCTAACAACGAGAATTATGCATGTAGAATCACACAAGTCACAAACTTTAATTTACAAAAAGATTAAATAAAAAAAATAAAATAGAGGGGTATCAAATATCCATGTTACCAGAATATCAAGTTTTCCAAATTCAGATTTGATAAAATCTGCAAGAGAAGCTACACTTTGAGCATCAGCCACATCTAACAGATGAAAAACTACAAAGTCAGATAGACCTGAGTCTTTGAGTTTTTCAAATGCTTCAAGACCCCTTTTCTCATCTCTAGCTGTAAGCACCACCTTGATCCCAGCTGAAGCTAACTGTCTAACTATCTCTAATCCAATTCCTTTATTTGCACCAGTCACAACTGCATACCTGACAAACCCTCCACCCCAAAGGTTAGAAAAAAGGAGTGAGAAAGGATCTATTTATCTCAAGTTGGATGAGATAATTACCTCATTCAACAGAGACAAAATAGTGAGGACCACTATTTTAAAAAAGAAAAAGAAAAAAATAAAATAAATCTCACTATTTTGTGTCTGTTACATGAAATAATTATCTCACGTCGATAAACCAAAAAAGCAAGGACAGCTTGGAAGGATAAGTGCAATTCTGTTACCTTTGTGTAGCTTCTCCCATCTTCAGGTTTGAAATTTTGAAGTTTGAATTGTGATGTTAATAATGAGAACAAGAACAAGGATATGCATATTGGAGGTGTTTGTAAGTGTGTTCATGTGTTTTAAGTGGCATGTATGTATAGGAGATAAGGTTGAGTTGTTAGACATGAGAGTAGGTGGCTTCTAGCTATAACGGTCAGGGGGAATGTAGTTAAGGTGGTCAAAGTATTTTTAAGCAGCCTAGGAATATATTAATAATGCATGTTTACAGATTCATTTAAATTAAGTTCAACTGAACTGTTTTCGAGTTTAAGGGTAGACTAGATCTATTTTCCTTCGAGGGTGTAGAATATTAATATAACGGTGATTTGATGAAGTGTATGAACTTAGGCTCACCAATGGAGTTATTGTTAGGGGAGATATCACGAGTCACGACATGGTTTGGGTCCAGAAAGAATACTAAGAATGAAGGGAAATGTGTGTGGAACAGTGGCTCTTGTACCAAGGAATATAATAAGTAAAAGATGTCTTTTAAATGGAAAAAGAGAGGTATTTATAGAGATGAAAATCTTATTTATCCGTCGCCGTTTTTGCCTTTATGGGAGGCAGCTCACACTTAATTATATGAGCAGCGTATAAATGGGAAAAGAGATCATATACGGTGACTGAGCAATTATCTCACTTTAACAATACATAGATTTAAGGGTAATATTTTTCTCCTTTTACATGACACAAGCAATCTTTCTACACAAACATAAAAGTGAGCCCATCAATTCTTTTACTTTTCTTTTATTTTAAAAATAGTGGACCCCACAATCTCTTGTCTCTGTGACATGACCTAAGAACTTTCCTACAACGTAATATTAGTTTTTCCTTATATTTAAACTCTGAATTGGACCTTAATGGTTAACCAAACCCATGGGCTGGTCCATAACACCAAATATATATATATTTATATAGGCAAAAAAAATTAATTTATTATTTTTTAATAAAAAATTACGAATAAGTAATTGTTTTGAAATTAATTATGAAAATATAGCAGTGAAATACGCTCATAGGGGCGTGACCGGTTGGAAAGAGACATGCCCTATCTGGGCATGACCGAGGAGAGAGACACGCCCCATTTGAGCGTGTTTCACCAGGTGCTGTCACGTGGCACAAAAGTCAACAGTTTGACTGTAAAACTTTAGAAGTCTATAACTTTTGACTCGGGTATCCGAATTAGGTAAAAAAAATTTTGATTCCACATAAATTTTCGAGATCTACGTAATGACACCTCATTTGGTATATTTTGTCTCTCACAAAAAAAAATTGAATTTACAATAATGATACCATAAGAACGTTTAAACTCAAATTAATAAGCAGAAAATCACTCTTATTATTAGAAACATTCATAATAAAGATCCTTATGATTATGGTAAGTTATGATAAGGTTAATTATGTATGTTATTGAGATATATATTAAAAATTTGAATGAAGAATTTTATGAAATTTATAATTGTATTCGATTAACATCTGTCGGTGACAGAATATCGAATAATTTATATTAAAAAGTTAAGTGAGTTCTTTTCGTTTTATTTTGATTTTTAAGTTTTTGTTCATGATTATAAATATGTTAGATTATTTTTAGTAATAATTATAAGGTAACAAAGTCATGTCATTTTTAATAATTATGGTATCATTGTTGTAAATTTAAATTTTTTTGTGAGAGACAAAATATGCCAAATGAGATGTCATTACGTAGATCTCGAAAAGTTATGTGGAATCAAAAAAAAAAACCTAATTCGGATACCCGAATCAAAAGTTATGGACTTCCAAAGTTTTACGGTCAAATTATTGACTTTTGTGACACGTGACAGCACCTGGTGAAACACGCTCAGATGGGGCGTGTCTCTCTCCAACTTGGTCACGCCCCATGTGGGCGTGACTCACGCTTAGGTCACGCCCCACATGGGCGTGTTTCTCTTTATTTGAACACGCCTCATGTGGACGTGTTTGACTGCTATATTTTCGTAATTAATTTCAAAACGACTGCATTTTCGTAATTTTTTATTAAAAAGGCAAAAAAATTAATTTTTTTGCCTATATATATATATATATTATTTTTGAGACAGGATTATTTGACATCTCATAAGTCACTGATATTGTTTGTAAATATGTGATATCGTTGATCTGCCTTGATCTAACAGCACTCAAATGTGGTGCCAAACTTTTTATTTAACACTGGTATTAAAAAATCCTACCCCCTATGTGAGACATGGTCATTTGACACCTCTTCTAAGAGTAATTGATCTTACTTTGATCTAACGATTCTAATTTATAAACATGTGACACAGTGAATCTGCCTTAATCTAACAACATTCAAATGTGGCGTCAAATGATTATATATATATATATATATATAACAACTCCGTCGAACTTTTTATATTTGTCATTTATAGTTTCTTTTTGTTTGTAGTTGTTGTTGTATTTGATTTTATCATATTCGAAATTAGTTTGTAGAGGGGAAATATATTTAGACTGCGTGAACTTTAGTCCATTTGTCACCACAGACTTAAAATTTCTTAATTTAATCCTTTTGACTATGACATTTATACAACAAATGGTTGTTAAAGAAAGATTATCATGACTTGATCTCGGCCTCCATATGTAATACGTTCTTTATTTTAATAGTTTATTTTTTTATTTTTTTTTATTTTATATTTTATCTATTCATTATGTTTAAAAAAAATTAAAAGCTAATATTTAAAACAAATAAAAAAAGAAAATATTAAAAATGGAGCACATGGTCTTGTCCATCCAAAGTGCAACATATAACTTCTAGATGCTCCTTTGAAACCTAACGGAGAGAATTGAGGAAGCACAAAAAATCATTAAAAATAATGTACAATCAACTCAGGAGGCAATAATTTCAAAGTTGAGTTAGATAACTGAGAGAGAAAGCGGGGAAAAAAATAATGAATTATAAAAATAAACTGTCCGTGAAATCTGTAATATATTAGCGTGTATGAAATATGTGATATGTTTGTTTATGAGACCAAAATTACTCAATTCCAAAACTTTGAAAATTGCCTTGAAAAAATCAGCAGTACTGTATAGTTCCAATTTAAAAAAGGTCTCTTCAAGGTTACTTTCCAGCCGAGCTGGAGGGAAACTAGTGGACAATTCATACGTCCGAAACACCAAATCCAAGTCTTCAATTCAACACTGTCTTCTAGAAAATCTCCTTCATCATCACTTGAGGATCTTCCAAATCCATGCTTCAAGAAAATTATAGTTAAAAATGTCAAACATGACGTAATATAAGGCTCTTTCATGTGCTTTCATGGACAAAATGTTGTGGTGGTGCACGTTACGATGCTCAAGTCAATAAATAAATATGATAAATAATATAAAAAAGAAAAATGTCTACATATGAAAGTGAAGATCTTCTATATGAGTTTCGGATTTAAGATTTATATTTGGGCCAAGTTAATATTTAAATTGTATCATGGATCCACTACACAGCTCAAAATATAAGGAACTATGAGAAATTCAAAATCAAGAACAACCAAGGAAAATAAGGCTACCAATGAACAATAAGAACGACAACAACCCATAAGAGAAGCACCCATAAAAGAGGGGGCAAAAGCACCTTAAATGGGAAAGCCAACACCACGTAGAAGAAAGAAAATTAAGGTCCCCAATGCTTTTAGACAATGTTATTAAAATCGGTTCGGTTATTGATCCGGTCGAGGTAATGGGTCACTGGTTCAATCGCATTACTCGATAATTATATACAATTTTATAATTTATATTATAAAATTATAAACATACTCAAATATCTAAAAAAAATGATAAAATTTCAAATATTTTAATATAAAAAATAATAAATCACATATTATTATCCAATAAAAGATCAAACAAAAATATAATGATCGTGATATGGGGCTTTAGGTTTAGAAAATGACATCTCTAACTATAAATTAATTCAAAATTTTCTGCAAAGTACATAATTGAGATAATATTAGTGTTGTAGGTACATAACTTATGTAAGTCAATAAGCAAAAAAATATTCAAATATGTCTAATATGATTATTATTTTTTAAAATTTTGGATTTTTTTTTTTGGGACCGGGCCAGGTCACCGGTTAACCGACCGGGTCGCTGATTTTTATGAAAATCGATCGGGTCGGATCGAGTCTCACCGGTTCTGATGCATGGCCAGTCCGTTGCTTCAATCGGACCAGTTATATGATCGGTTTACCGGTTCCCGGGTCGACCGGGCCGGGTCGGTCCGATTTTAGTAACACTGCTTTTAGAGACAATTTTTAAATTTTTATTTTGTTGCACCACAATGAACGTGTTTAATCAATTTTACTTTTGAATTTTCAAACTTAATTTGTTCAAGAGAAGTTAGGCTAGACCACACATGATTGAATTTACTTCAATAACAATTTGAGTGGATTTGCTTCAAGATGGATGTCGACGCCGGATGATCTGCGAGATGGTTATGCTAATACTGGATAGCTATATTTGGCTGGGACAAATGGGGAGAGGTACCTGCAAGAGAATACACTTTGACACTCAAGTCAATATTTGATCAATAAACTTAAGTTAAGATGGATATGATGATCATACCTTGGTTTCAAGCCTTCATTATATAGCAGTTGGATGTCGTGCTTATGCCGCCATAATATGATGACACTTAATATCATTGGTGGACTGAGGTGTCTTCTGCTGCCTATTCGTGTGTTGGATGCCTATTTCTAGGCTATATCTATTAAACATAGCTGAAATCATGTACTTGTCTCTTAGCCATTGGTTGTTAAGGTGGTTGTGGAGTTATAAGTTGTTGTTGCCATAACTATGTCTAGTGAATGACTTGCATGTGGGTTGAATGTGTTTCCTTCCTCTTTTAAGTCTTGATAATTTGGACTCTTAGGCCACACATGAATTGGACCAAATATACTGCATGGAATAGGTTCAGATCAATGACCACTAAACCCAGGCTTGCCAACAAATACACTCTGTGTCTTAGTCG